GCTAATTTAAATTGAAACGTAACCGGGAAAAAACCGATTATTGCTTTATTTTGTGAAAAATTTCCAAATACTGCAATTAAAAGAAGTACTTGTTGGCGTTTAATCAAAAGATTTCTTACAGCAGGAAGTATTCACTCTAAGAAAAAAAAATTATGATGAAACTGATTAACTATGATCAACTGTTTTCCTTTGTGGGCGAACACACACTTAATTTCTTGTGAACATTTTCAGAACGGTTTGTTTATTTCTCCCTAATAATCTGAATCTCAAAACAAAAAGTCGTAATAAGGTACTATTGACGAAAATAATAAACAATAGGTTTTATCAAAGTAGGCTGATGAAAATTTGCATATGGCCATAACTTTTCATTCTGAATAAAATTTCTTAGTAACATTTTACCATACTGTAAACAGAAAAGGTACTTTACCTGACACACAAGAAGTTTTAGCTTCAGTATCAACACTCACTTGTTTTTTAAAATTTGAAAATATGTTCAAAATTAGTCTTTAATCAAGCAGGCCTGAACCCCAAAAGATGACAGTTAATATCGAAAAAAATTTACATTTTATAAGAGTCGTTTCACCTATCCGGGGACACACTGTAGATAGAATGCATTGTGCATTTTATCAATGACGAATTATCGGTAACGGGAGGATGCATGTGTTAGTTGATCTATTTTATGTTGCCCGATGTCTATGAGGTTACGCTTCTAACAAGTTTATAAATGTTTAATTAACAGGATATTATTTATCATTCAATTATTTATTACATACTGTTCATTTATTTAATACAAAAAATTTCATGGCACACCAACATATACAGGGTGTCCAATTAGTGCAATATCGGAGGATATCTCCTTACAGGGTGTCGCTAGAAGAAAATATTTATATATAAAGTTGTTTGGTGCTCGAAGGTGCATAACCTAAAAATATTTTTGTTTGTACGGGGTGTTGCAAAAACAACAGGTCTTTGTTGTTGCCAATTTTGGTAAAAATTTTCAGAGCGAGTGTCGCCTGGAAATATGTGCCGGCAGAATGGACTAAGGTACGGGTATCTTACATACCCAAAGCGGGCCGTTCGGTCCCTACTTCACTACGTCGACTTGTCCACCAACATCCATTACCTCTGCGACGTACTGGGTAAGACAACATAAATTAGTTATTGTCGAGCGTTTAGGCACAAAACCATGTTGGTGAGGCGATACATATGATTGTGTGTGACGATAAATTGTATTAAAAATTATCTGCTCATATACCTTTGCAAAATTAGATAGAATAGCAATTGGTCTATAGTTGGTTACCAAGGACTTGTCACCTTTCTTAAATACGGGCGTGATTCTAGCTGACTTCCATCTCTGAGGGAAAATCGAAGCAGTTATAGAGCGATTAATAATGTACATCAACGGTTTAGCTAACGCAAATCGTACATCACGTACCAGAAAACTAGGTATTTGGTCTTCACCCGCTGTGAGTTTGGAGCTAAAACCCCTCATTACAGCAATTATCTCCTCCTCGGTTACCTGATGGATATTAAACATTGGCAACGTGGGAACTGCGTCAGTAAAATCCCTGGAATTGTCAGAATAAACAGATGAAAAATAGGAATCGAAAGCATTGACTATATCAATCGGAATAGTATATTCATCTACATCATCTCTAACGATCGACGGTATTCTGCTAGTACCTTGCTTTAGTCGAACGAAATTCCAGAAATCACTAGGATCGTGCTTTAAATTATCAGAGGCATGTTGCCAAAAGGAATTGTAAGCAGCGTCGATTTGTTCTTTTACTAGTGATCTCATTCTAATGAAGTGATCGAGATAGAACGTTTGTTTGGTAGTTCTGTACTTGTGTCTATAGTACTCTTTAGTTTTAAGGTTTTTAATTATTTCCTTAGAGAACCACTGAGGATAATTGTTTTGCTTCTGTTGAGTGCAAGGCACCGATTTCTCTATTAAATTATAAAGAGAAGTATAAAACAAATCCAACATTTCGTCCACGTCGTTTACATCTTCTAAAAATGACCAATCCATGAGAGCAATGTCATCATATAAAGTCGGAAAATTCGCTCTTCGAAAGTTAAATCGAGAGACAACAGCGTTTGGAAAAACAGTCGGAAATTTTGTAATTTCAATTGATAGAGCAGTCGACAACGCCGGATGATGCTTATCCTCAGGAACGAAAGGATAGNACAGGAAAAAATATAGAGTAACAATCAACTCTAAAACATGGTTCAGATCGGTCCAATTTATTTAGAGTTATTTTTTTGCACTATATAGTGTAGGTGAATAGATTAAAAATTTACACTAAATAGTGAGAAGATGGTGTTTATTAAATAGTGTAAAATCGTTACTCTATAACGGTGTATTATATGTAATCTAACTAGATGTTGTCGTGACTCTAAAAATTCGCTCCAATTTTACTCTATTAATTGACAAAGTATCACTAAATAGTGTGTATCTTCCACTTATTAGTGTTAATTTTTAATAGGAAGTGCACAGGAAAAAATATAGAGTAAAAATCAACTCTAAACCATGGTTCAGATCGGTCTAATTTATTTAGAGTTATTTTTTTGCACTATATAGTGTAGGTGAATAGATTAAAAATTTACACTAAATAGTGAGAAGATAGTGTTTATTAAATAGTGTAAAATCGTTACTCTATAACAGTGTATTATATGTAATCTAACTAGATGTTGTCGTGACTCTAATTAGATACATTTCTAATCTAATCAGTGTAAATTATTAAAAATTCGCTCTAATTTTACTCTATTAATTGACAAAATATCACTAAATAGTGTGTATCTTACACTTATTAGTGTTAATTTTTAATAGGAAGTGGAGTATTTTTAGGGAAGTTTTACGTTTGTAATAAAAATCAAAATTATAAAATATTTGTTTTTATTTTTACTTGTAATATATTGTTATAACTTAAATTTAAAAACATTAAATTCTGTTTATATACAGGTGTCCCGTTAAGCGTACGGAGCGGCTGTATCTCTAGAACAGTAAGGCCAAGAGGTTTGGGAAAAAAATCCTTATAAGCAAAGTGACCAAGAGAAATAGCTGGAAATTATTTTGAAGTTCGTAATTCGACCGCTAGGGGGCGTAACTGCCATTGAGAAACATAAAATTGCCGCTATAACCTAACGCTATAAACCTGTACACTATAAAAAGGTTCCCAGTCGATCCACTATACACTGTGTACATAAAGTATGGAATCAATTCGATAATAATTCGGGAGATATTCTTCCAGGAAAAAGGCTTGGACGTCCATGTTATACATTTTAACGCGCATTTTTTGAGATAATATTGAAATGTACAATCCCAAAATTATGATACCATGCCTAAGTTGACATTTTTAACACTTTACCGATCGCTAGCCTATAAATCGGCTTTTTGTTGCCGATGCTTACCGACCTTTTAAGCGGCTACTATATAGCCAACGCAGTGTAAAACAGTGTAAAAAAACTCTAAACATACACAGGAAAACATATAGAGTAAAAATCAACTCTAAAACATGGTTCAGATCGGTCCGATTTATTTAGAGTTATTTTTTTGCACTATATAGTGTAGGTGAATAGATTAAAAATTTACACTAAATAGTGAGAAGATGGTGTTTATTAAATAGTGTAAAATCGTTACTCTATTACAGTGTATTATATGTAATCTAACTAGATGTTGTCGTGACTCTAATTAGATACATTTCTAATCTAATCAGTGTAAATTATTAAAAATTCGCTCTAATTTTACTCTATTAATTGACAAAATATCACTAAATAGTGTGTATCTTCCACTTATTAGTGTTAATTTTTAATAGGAAGTGGAGTATTTTTAGGGAAGTTTTACGTTTGTAATAAANCACTGTTATAGAGTAACGATTTTACACTATTTAATAAACACCATCTTCTCACTATTTAGTGTAAATTTTTAATCTATTCACCTACACTATATAGTGCAAAAAAATAACTCTAAATAAATTGGACCGATCTGAACCATGTTTTAGAGTTGATTTTTACTCTATATTTTTTCCTGTGTATTTAGTGATACTTTGTCAATTAATAGAGTAAAATTGGAGCAAATTTTTAGAGTCACGACAACATCTAGTTAGATTACATATAATACACCGTTATAGAGTAACGATTTTACACTATTTAATAAACACCATCTTCTCACTATTTAGTGTAAATTTTTAATCTATTCACCTACACTATATAGTGCAAAAAAATAACTCTAAATAAATTGGACCGATCTGAACCATGTTTTAGAGTTGATTTTTACTCTATATTTTTTCCTGTGTATGTCGCTATAGCGACATTTTACGACCGACTCTGAATCGAAAATCTTAATGTAAAAATGTTCTACTATGTTGAAAAATGTTTTTTTCATGCAGATGTGATAATGAAAAAATGTTAAAAACGAACTTTAAAGCTAAACAAAATAACTTGAACAAAAAAACTAGTTTTCAAAATTCTTTTTATTCCAAATTACAGCTTCTTTATCAACAGATATTAAATATTTATGATTATATACTGATAAATTAAAATTTTTACCTCTTACGCAATTAGAGTGATAGCAATTATCGAAAATGTTAATTTTATTACACGACCACAGAGCAAGATGTTTCATGTTCGTTCTGATAAAGATTATTATAAAAGCATTCGATTATTTCCTCTTTTCATAGTCTGCAGCGAGAATTGAAAAATGTCGAACCAGTTTGTTTTATTGGTGAAACAAAATCCTGACGGTGCTTCAACCATCAGGAAATATATATTTCAATGTGAAGTGGTGGAAGGTAAACTTTCCAAAACATATGTATATATTTATGTTACTTTAATATTTGATAACTATTATGTTCATAAATTAGGGCCGGAAGAAATGCGTTGGAGTAGAACGATGCACTCCGCTCTAGAGCGGAGTATTCGAAATATTGAAATATTGTATTTTATTGTATTATTATTTCTAAAAGCTCAATGGAGGAAGTATAGTACCCCTCGAACACCATCAAGTTGCTGATATTAGCTTTGATGAGAGCGCTAATAATAAGCCGGCGGTAAAGATCGATGATGTTGAGCTGATGGAGGTGGATGATGGTATGTTTTCAGTTTTTCTCCACTTCATTATATTATTATTTTTTATTTATTTATTTTACTTTTTATAGATCAATGTGGTGAGTATGATACCGACGGTCACCCTCGCTTTCCCCACCATAGGAAACCATTAATAATGATAGTAGCGAGGAGTATTGCTCAACTGCGCTGCAACGAGGGAGCACTTCGAAGTTGTATAATACTTCCTGTGTATATCGCTATCCCCACCGCAACTAGGAGGAAATAAATGACAACTTAGGTTTAATAACAAATTGATTACTTAGCATAAATGAAAAACTAAATAAAAATAATTGATTTGTTCTAATTGCCTGTTTTGTTTTTTTATCTACACACACATTCATTATAAATACAGTGACAATAAAAGTAACAATAAAAGATGTACATATATTAATCAAATATTATTAATTATTATTTATTAATATAATCATTTATTTTTGTAATTAAGTGTTCAATAATTTATTTATTTATTCTATAATTTTATTTTGCATAAAAAGGTATTTATACTGTATTTCTTCTTTTCTTAAATAAGTCAATCGATTGGAATTTCAATTCTCTTATTTGTTATATTTACTATTAATTAAAAGAACATTATTTATATTATTTATTACTTATGTACTTATATTTAATTAAAAAAAAACCAACATCTTTTTAAAGATTCCCAGTTAATTGCCGCGCGAACATAGTAATCATTGTATTGGTAACATATGTTATAAATTCATTTAAACCCATTTTTTGTAAATATTTTTAACCACATAACATTCCTAATCTCGCTGAATCCAATTCTTTAGCATACAATTTAACAAAAATTTCTAATGGGCAATAAATTCCACAATTTGGGACGAAAATTGGTTGAGGTTCTAAATGACCATCATAGTTTTGGTGCAAAAACTAAAATTTTCCTGCTTAAAGATTCTATAATTCAAATATTTAAACATCATTACCTTTAAGAAATATATTCCAATATATTTATGAACTTCAATAATTATATGAGCTCCATAATTTGGGTTATGTGGAATGAAATTATCAAAGAAGTTTAGCATTGACGAGATATTAAGATCATGAGCTGAATACACATAAATTTTACGATTTTTCGCTTCTTTTTCCTCGTTTATCGTTAAATATGTGTTGTTAATTATTGTCGAAATCAAAAATCCCGGTGTTAAAGTTTTTAAATCATCCATCATATAATATCTCCATCCATTTGATGATATTTCGTTTAAAATATCGGGATAAATCGATTCAGTCCAATCGGGTAATTCTAAACCAGCTTCTTCTTCCGATTTTAATGTTGAATATAAAACCGTTGCTATACTATAAATACTTCCAGTCATACCAGTTTTTTCCATTAAAAAGGGAAGCAAATAATTGTATTTCTGAAATACTAAATCTGTTGGAAGATACTTCTGATAATTTTCTGCCAACATTATAGGCCAATTTGGACATGTTATTAATGGAGTAAATAATTTATTTTCCTTTATTGGTACATAATCATAAGGAATTGGTTCCCAAAGTAAATCTTTGTTCCAAATTAATTCCTTTGAAGGAGGATATAATCCTGCTAAAATACCTTCAAGACTTGCTTTAGTTCTTGGAAGATGAGAAGAAATTGCGTATAATATATCTGGAGTGTAGACATCACCAAGAAGTTTATTGTATTTTTGACGAATAGTTGTTCCTATTTTATAATTGGTTAATTTTCCGTTATTGGTGAGCTGTCCGATTCTGAACGGATAGAAATCTTTTTCTGTGTAAGGATCGTTTGGATATAAGACATCTGGAGTTCTATCACCATGACGAAAAACCTGGGCAAAAATATTTAAACAGATATACACAATAAAACAATACTTACAACGTGAATAAGTTTTAAAGTTGATTCAATACTAGCAAAATTTTGAATATCATTTGCAAAAGCAATTCCAAAATAGCAAATGAAGACAATGAAAGTTTTCATTTTGTGTTAGCAACAAATAAATACTCCGGCAATTCTAAGAGAAATTCTGCTTTTTATATAATTTTTATCTTTTTTTATTAAAAATTGATTATAAGGACATAATTGGTGTAATTAAGTTTTTGGATAGCAACAAATTAGGCATTTCAATTTTTATCTCTGTTAATCTCTATTACCGTTTGTAAAACAAAGAAATTTCTATTTTTGGGATGAATATCAATTTATTATTATATAACGGCAATTCTTTACATCAATAATAAAAAATGTAAAATCTTGTAATACTTTCATTTTAACCAGCACAAGGCATCCAAATTAGATGGGTCCAATTGTTTCGCATACAATCGAACAAACACTTCTAATGGGCAATAAATTCCACAATTAAGTACGAAAAGCGGTTGAGGTTCTAAATCGTTGTCGTAGTTTTGATGAAGAAACTAAAAATTTTAAGTTTTAAAAATTATTTAAAAAGAAATTATTCTGTTACCTTTATGAAGTAAATTCCAGTAAATTTGTGAACTTCTATAATGATATGTGCTGAATTATTCGGAATGTGCGTAACAAAATTATCTGAGAAATATAAAATTGCAGCAACGTTTTCATCATGACTTGAATATAAATAAATTTTCTTATATTTTGCTTCATCTACGCCATTTATTAAGAATATATATTCTATTGTTGAATAAGTATTATTAATAATTTTTGAAATCAAAAATTCAGGTGTTAAAGTTTTTAAATCCCCTATCATATGACATTTTATTCCATTTTCTGATATTTCTCTTAAAATATCAGGATATACTCTTTTAGTCCATTTTGGTAATTCCATACCAAGATCTTCAGATTTTAATGTTGAAAATAAAATCTACCCACATTGTAAAAGTTGTCATTCAAACTTGAATTTTCTAGTAAAAACGGATATAAATAATTATATTTTTAATATATCGGATCTGAGTCGAGTTTAATACAATTTTCGTTTAATAATTTAAGTCCATTTGGACAAAGTCTCACTGAACTAAATAAAGCAAATTTTTCTTCCAAATTAATTGGAATAAATCCGCTAAAACAGCTTGAAGACTCGCTGTAGTTCTTGGAAGATGAGTTGAAATCGCACTTAAAATATCCGGAGTATAGACATCTCCAAGACGTTTATTATATTTTCTACGGAGGTACGTTCCAAGGTTATAGCAAGTCAATTTTCCTTTATTTGTTAAATGAGCAATTTTGTATGGATAAAAATCTTCTTCGGTGTATGGATCATTTGGATATAAACTGTGTGGAGTTGTATCGCCATGGCTAAAAATCTTTAATAAAAAAAGATTAATTACAAGAAGACATTTAAATAACAATTTAATATTTATAGTTTTATCTTACATAATTTTGTTGTTTTTTATTGAGAACTCAGTTCTCACGAGAACAAGATGAACACTCTATTGAACCAGACACTTACAAGAAAATTATGAAGGATCACACAGATAAAGCAGGACGATGAAGAACCTAATTATGTCGACGGATATTCTTTAGCAGGAAAAGAAAAACTTGTTTATACAATACTATTTCAATACTAGCAAAATTTTGAATATCATTTGCAAAAGCAATTCCAAAATAGCAAATGAAGACATTGAAAGTTTTCATTTTATGTTGGCAACAAATAAATATGGGCAATAGCACCAAGGATTTATGGTTTATCGAAAATCCATAAACCAGACGTCCCGCTACCTATCGTAAGCTCAATTAACTTACCTACATACCAGTGTTGTTGCCCTTTATGGTGAGCATGCGTAACGCAGCGGAAGACGGATGTAAAAATTGACAATTTAAGTATATTCTTATCAGTTGGTTGAGAAATCCTGCTATTTTATTTGCTTTTGTGTAATCTGCTATATTCATACCTAGATACTGAAATTTCATTTGTTGCTCTATTACTTGATTATCGATTTCTATCTTACATCTACGTGGTTTCATTTTATATTTTCACCCTGTTGTGTTAAAAATATGTGTACGTCTTGGAAGAACATCATCATTTTCTGCAATGATCATCGCATATTATACTATTCTATATACTCTTCTATCACGTCTTACTTGTTTTATTACACTGTGTCTAATAAATGTATACCTGGCAAGTTGTTTGGTTCCTGATTTGTTAGTTCTTGTATCAATCTCTGACTGTCATTATTACTTCATTCGGCATTCTATTTTGTCCTGATGATTTTCTGTTTCTTAACGTTTTCACAGTTTCTTCCATTTCTTCATACGTTATTTGTATATTATGTCTGATGGGTGGTATTTCAGTATCAAAACGTAATTTGACGTAAATAAACTAAAATTATTGTGCAAATTAGTGGTCTACCAAAGATGCCTACCTACTGTTAAGTATTTTAGTTGACGTACGGTTACTGAAAGGTCATGATCATGGCCAATATATATATCAATTGAACAAACGAGGTGATAAATTAAACAACATAATTATTTTTTTGAATTTTAATGAAGCATTTAATATCTTATCGTTACTCACCTACGAATTCTATATTCTGTTACTCAGAGCGGAAAAACACATCCAGAATATAATTATAGACTACTATAGCAAAACAGAAAAAAAAAGAAATTGCACATATCGATCGCTACTCTTTTATTTTCGTTTCACCGATTATACATGCCTTATTGATTTTCTTATATCATTCGGTAAGATAAAATAGATGTAGGGCTCTCATCATTATTTTTATAAAATGTTTTTATTCTGCAAAAATATGTAATACAATGATAATTTTTGCTCTACTTCATTTCATTCCTTTAAAGCATTGAAGCAATTATTATAGTATAAAACGTCCAAAGCTATTAAAAAGCCATCCTATATTTTACACTTGCTATAATTATAATTCATGAGTTTTTTGTTATTGATTTTTTATACTTAATTTTTTTTGTTGATATATGTATATAATTTTCCAAATGCAATTTCATTTGCATTGAAATATTTTATTAACCAGCACACAAAGCATTTAAATTTGCTGGATCTAATGCTTTGGAGTCTAGTCGAACGAAAACTTCTAGTGGACAATAGATTTCACAATTTGGAATAAAAAGGGGTTCATGCTCTAAATCATCATCATTATTTTCATGTAAAAACTAAAAATATTAATGTTACCAAAATTACTTACAAAATGTAGTTTCTATTACCTTTAAAAAATAAATTCTGTTGTAATTTGTATCTTGTTTATACACATTTTTGCATTTTTTATTTGTATTTAAATTAGTTTTTCGATTTGTCAAGAATCATAGCAATAAGAAGTTTTTGTTTTGTTTTCGTTGTTGTTGACAACAAGCGCGTCACTATCAATAAGATTTTTGTAAGAGCGTCGTTTGAGTCGTGTTGTACCTTCGTTATAATTAATAAATAATTCGTTACAACAAAAGCCAACAAATCGTTATTCGTTACGAAGAAGTGTTAACCAGCGCTATAACATACGTTATATTATTCAACAAATTCCAAGATACTTATGAACTTCCACGATAATTGTGTAAGTAACATAAAAATCCACTAATGTTAATCGTGTCCTGAGTACAAATAAATTTTTTGGATTTTTGCTTCATCTTCGCCATTTATCACCGGATAAAATCTTGGAATCGGGTAACCGTGATTATACCTCCCAATTGTATTTTGCTATTTCTACCAAAATTTCAGGATACACCTTTCGAGCCCAAACTGGTATTTCCAACCCAGCTTCTTGTTCTGACTTTAATGTTGGCCATAAATTTATGCCTATCTCATAAAGATTTCCAGTCATACCTGTAATTTGTTTCAAATAGGGAAGTAAATGATTATATTTTTGAATAATCGGATCAGAATCGAGATTTTTGTAAGTCTCATTCATTAATATGTTCATATTTGGACAAGTGTAAAGAGAAAGAAATAAATTGTTTTCTTTGAATTGTAAATAATCATAAGGAATCGGTTCCCATAGCAAATCTTTATTCCAAATTAATTCTTCGGATAGACCCGCAAAAACCGTTTCCATACTTGCTCTAGATCTTGGATAATTTGAGGAAACAGCATACAAAATATCCGGAGTGTAAACATCACTGAGAAGTTTGTTATATTTTTTTCGAAGACTTGTCCCAATGTTGTAGCAAGTTAGTTTTCCTTTATTTGTTAAATGAGCAATTTTATATGGATAAAAATCTTCTTCGGTGTATGGATCTTTTGGATATAAAAAGTCAGGAGTTCGATCACCATGCCGAAAAAGCTTTAATAAAAATATAATTTTTAAAATCCTATTAAAGATTGTTTTTTAACAATCTATTTTTTGCTATCGACTAAGATTATTTTTAATACGTCATATTTGATTTATTTCTAGCAAATTTTTATCAAAACAAATCAAAAATTTTCTAACATCCAAAACTTTTCATGGCTTAAGAGAAGTTAATTGAAATTTATTCAGCGATTTACTTTCTTTCTTTCTCAGCGCGTCTCTATTTACTCTTGGATGTAGGTTTCTTCCATGTTTTTCCATTTCACGCCATTTGTAGCAAATTTCTACCCCCAATCTTCTTGATGTCATCCAGCCATCTCAGTTGCGGTCTATACTCCGATTTGTTGTCCGGGGCCTCCACTGGATGATTTCTTTGGACCATCTGATGCTGTCTTGTGTTGCGACGTGTCCTGCCCATCACCACTTCAGAACAGCAACTTTCGCCACTACGTCTATGATCTTAATGCGCCTTCGGATCTCCTACTGGCTCTTTGATATGTTCTTAGCCTATTAGCGTTTCTTCTTCGTGAGCGCGGTGATTTTCAGGCCATATGTTGTTGCCTGTCGTATGCAGAATTCGCATAAAAAACCCTAAAGTAAAACAGACAAAAAAAGCAAGAAGGTAGGATGGCAAATAAAAATGTAGATAAATAAGAATACTAAGGGAATAGAAAAATACAGAAAGATTCCTTAAAGAATGTTGGAAGCAGTAAGAAATAATGATGAAAGAGAAAACTGCCGCTTTTTTCGAAAGTAAGTAGAATCACTAAAAAAATAGGGCACATGCAAGATGACAGAGGGAGTTTAACAAAGCAAGAAGGAAAGCAGATATGAAGAACAATGTGACGGGAGATTATAGATTTCTAAAATAAATTAGAGAGGATATAAACAAACGACAAGTCAATATGGAAACGAACAAGGGTAAACGGTCAGTTATGTCTTTGTTTAGTGTTATATCCACTAAACAAAGATATTATGCTATAACATTTTCTGCTCTTGTTAGACATGGAAACACTAAACACACTTTATATGTTGTCGAGTGATGTAGTGCTTTAGAATTCTGTAAGGACGTTACTTGTCGTGGCGAACAAGAAGGTTGGATACCATCGGTTATGTTTTGATGAAGGAGGCGATCCGATAACTTTTATTTCAACTTTTCTGTTTTTGAATTCAAGTTGATATTTAGTGGTTCCAGTATCGAAAGACTCGAGACCGAATGCTGTATTTACTGTTAGGATATAGAACTATTCCACTTTAAGAGAAAACCCTTTCGCTTTCATAAGTCCCCTACTGCTTAGCACTGTTAGATTCGTAGAGTGCTTAGTGTTAATTTAAATCCGTTCATGTTATGTCACTTGAACAAACAGTGTCATTTTTATCAATCGATTATTGCGAAACATCTGTAAGGATGAATTAGCTATTAAACCTGTCACGGTTAATTTCCCTATTCCCAAAATTGTCTGTGAAATCACGTGCATCTTCGATATGAATTTTGGATGCAGGAAATATATTTCTAATTTGTTGACTGCAATTAGCTTTATCATATTATTCCTAAAAATATCAAGATTATCAATATTCAAAACTCAAAACACGTGGTGTGTATTTTAAAGCAGGAATTGAGAATACAAAATTTCTTAATTCGTTCGTTAAGGGTGATAATGATTATGAACTCCAGGTTGCGATTTATATTTTGCAAAAAGTGCAAGAGTGGCAATTATGGTGCACAGGGACTTAAAGCAAAACAGCAAAGCATGTGACATCTTAGAGAGGGTGATATATGTATTACGGTCAAATTAAATGACTTCTATACCCTGCAAGTGATCCAAGTCTAGCAGTTTACGATGACCACTACAAAGAGCATAGAGAAGGCCAGCTTTGTTGTTGTGATGGGAGGCTTTAGCGCAAAGATATGGAAATTACAGACCTACCTTACCGTGGGCTAATTGTTCTGAAACAGGAACGAACGAGGTCAGAAAATCTATTCTGCATCAACACTCAGTCCCAGAAACCATCTAAAAGGAGGTGGATATGGAAAAGCCCAAACAACACGATGAAAAATTAAATCGATTACATACTCATTAACAGCAAAGAGATTTGCACGGATGCCAATGTCTGTAATCGATTTAATACTGGCAGCGACCACAGGCTGATAAGAGCGAAAGTCAGTATCGATGTACGCAATATCCGAATTCGGACATTAAACATTAAACATGAAATTTTTACCTACAACGCGTTGTAATCATTTAAGCTTACCCATAATTCGCCGTTGTGTCAGCTATGGCCTTCAGCACTGCAACGTTGAGCCCATCTGGTCCGGCACTTTTTGTGTTACGTAAGTCTTTAATAACCTTTATGATATCTTCCGCGTACACCGGTTTCACGAAAATTGTAAAAGGTTGCAGTTCACTTGTTGTGCAGGACTGTGACACTTTACCTTGTATGTAGTTTCATTTGAGGTTGGTTAAACCACAGGTGGTATAACCAAAGCACTTGGGCCCCAACGGTCCCTTTGTACATCCTCACGGTTTACTTCGGCCACGTGTAGGTCTATTTGGAGGAGTGAAAGATGTTCGAAAATGGCATCCGATCAGGCTGATACCGCTTCTCGCCTCGCCTTCAGCCGGGCTGGTACTCCAACGCCCAGCAATTTGAAGACGACCCCCAAGCCGGGCTGGTACTCCAACGCCCAGAAACTTGGGTACATGGCTGAGTACCGCTCGAAGAGCGCAGACGCGCTTTCAACCCGTTTTTACGTTCACAACTTCCAACTACACATGTATCTGACAACAACCAGAGATGTTAGACTGGTTGCCGGGACCGACGGCTTAACGTCCCCTCCGAAGGACGGGGAGGCGACTCGACGTGTATTCACTGGGAATTGAACCCAGTACGCCGGCGTGGTAGCCCGAGAGCTTACCACGGTGCCATTCGCCCCCTTTACTTTACCTTTAAAATGTTGATTTATTTGTGTTTTAGTAACATTCACGAAATACTCGGCAAATAATTGTGATACCTCGGAGTCGTCGCAAACCTCCGCATCATCATTTTCTAATGTGATTAGTTTGGTTAGTTTGGTCTTCTTTTCCCTCGCTTTTCATTGACAATTGACCACATCGCTCTAAGTTCATTTGCAGAGTTTTCAATTTAATCTAGGTTGTATAATTTTTTTGCGTCATAAAGGCGTTGACGATAGTTTCTTCTTTGTCGTTTATATGATTCATTAGCTTCAGCGGTGTTTATATTTTTTATTGTGCAATGGAGATTTTTAGGTTTTATACTCATCTGTTTTATTCTGTCGGTTATCCATGTTTTTTTCGGTTTACATTGTTGTATGTTTCTTGTGGGACATGCGTCGTTATATATTGTAATTAATGTCTTGTGAAACCAGTTGAATTTATCTTCTAAAGTAACTCGGTGCACTGTGCCTAGTTTATTTATGTTTTTTGACGATAAATTTAGAATGTATTCTTTGGGATTTCGGTATTATAGGGCAGGGGTGGCCAAGCTCTTTAATAGTCCAAGCCATTTTTCAATTTGAAATTTTACAGGGTAATTCAAATTCGACCCCCACCATTGGGATCTCAAAAACCATAAGAGATGCAGAAATGGTTAAATGGGGGCAAAGTTGCGTATCTTAGAACTCATCATTTTTCAACAAAGTTTTTGGATCTAGCCGTTTTAGTTTTTAAAATATGAGCGGAAAAGCAAAAGAATTACGTTTTCGTTTTTTGCCTATAACTAATTTATTTTTCGTTTTTTCATGAATCTGTAAAAACATTCTTAAGGCAACTTTTTATGAAAAATATCATGACACAACTAGAAATTTTCTCGGACGTTTGGTTTTCGTGAAACTATCATCAGAATATCGAAAAAATAAAATATGCCCCACATTAAGAACACATCGGTTTACCACCAGTCCAAATTTGAAATTTTTTTGTCAAATAGTTTTAGAGAAAAAAAATAGCAAAATAGACAAAGTTGCTAGCACTCTCAAAAATCGTGTCTTTTTTCACTTAACTCGCGATAAAAGAAAAACCGCGGACCCAAAAATTTCCAAATTAACATGTGATACACACAAATATTCACTGATTATAATAAACTTTACCGCAATTTTTTCCATCGAACGGTTACGAAGATATCGATCTCTAAAGTGAGGGGTCTTGACTTTTTGCACGGATATTAGTCAATGCATGTCGCTGATATATGACCATTTGGAAAAGCTTGTATTCTAGTGGCAGTACCTTTAAGTGCATTTCCAAGATTGAAGGAGTCCAATGTCGTAGAGCGCTATTGAGCGTGTCGATCGTAATAGGCCATCAATGTTAAGATCGCCACAGAAGATTACATTGTTCGAATTTCTAGAAACGATATCCAGAGCTTCACTTAATTTTTCAAGAAATAGGGTTTTATCGCCTCCTGGGGGTCTGTAAACGGCCATGATGTTGATTTTTGTATTTGCAAACTTAATAATTGTAGCGGAGCATTCTATGATACCATCTATAGAAAGCATTTTGATTGGTTTTATCTCTAAGTTAATTATATTTGATTTTACATAACATTTGATTTTTATGATATCATCTACATAACGTCTGAAAATGCATTGAAAATGCGATATCAATACAATATATGCAAATAATGTAATGAAAATAATATTATTATAAATGTTTCTTAATTTATAATAAATAATACTTACAACGTGTACTAATTTTAATATTGATTCTGTACTGGCAAAATTAGATATATCATTAGCAAGAGAAAATGTGAACAATGAAACAAAGAAAATAAACAAAGTTTTCATTTTTTCGTCTTATTAAAACTCCAACGATGGTTTAAAAAAATCGCGTTTTTATATACCTTTTTTATCATCTTTATCGTGTTATTCAATATGATTGGTCTAATTAAAACATTTTTTCTCTTATTTCTAGACAGTTTACAATGGTATAACAGTAATTTAGATTATGCGTATCAATAAATTCTTTGTTATTGTCGGTGTTGTTAAATTTATTACATTTTCAAACACCGCGTAACAGATTTTGGAAAGCAAGAAAAAAAGTCAATCGTAAGAAAGTTATTTTATGTACACACAGCTCCTAAAAAGATTGCATATAGATAAAAATATATTGAAGATATGCTGGATACTGCGACGAAGTTATTGAGAAGTTGGGTAAAATTGTTGATTCCATACTTGATGAAATACTTGATGAGACGATAATTAAAACAGCGGTGAAGCTAGCGGTATTTCAAGTACATTTGAAGGAAAAAAGGATTTATGAAAAGTAAGTAACAGATCTAATAGGAAGAAACGTGAAATGAGCAATAGGACAAAGTCGGCAGTAGTCCTTAACCATCTTAATGAGTTCGTGGTTGAGAAAGAGGAGAGATTAAAAATGAAGAAGGATACCATTCAGAACATTGTTATGATCATGCTCCAGTAACGAATCCAGGAAGGAGGTGAAAGTGATACTAATAACGAAAAGATATAATAATTGGATGGAGTAATTTTTAATGTTGTCAATTCGAGATTACTAAAAATTTAACCTTCCCAACTTCTTCCTGTTGCGCGTGTGGTTTTATATATTTCTGTTTTTCAGATTTGGTGTTGTCTTCATCTCCTAAAACCGTTTCAATCGGATTTTTTTAAAAAGTGTACTAGCCAGAAGAGAAAAACTGGCGGCTCGGAAAAATTTCTTCGAAGAAAAAAGAGGAATACTCTATGGATCAGACATAGCATATAAGTAACAGTAACTACAATCATTTTGATGTGCTACGGGTTTAAAACTTTAAATGCGATTCTCCCAAAAGTAAATCGCCAAGATTCGTTGACATTTCTTCTCAGAAACTAATCGTGTTGCCATTTTTCACACATTTTCGAAGAATGTGTGTACACACCCTCCAACCCTGAACTAGAATTCGTTCAATATTATTTAGAATCGTGTATTTCACCGGAATTTACTTACATTTCTTTTGTCGTTTGTGCAGATGTTTTGATCTGAACATTCACTGATTAAACAATTGGTTGCTTTGGTAATAATGCTTCAAATGTTTAAAATCATTTTCATATTTTTCTATCTCTATATTTTCATCACTTTTCTTCATTAATTGTAAAAATAAAAAAGTGTTGTTGTTTTTGAAAATATAATAAACTTATTGACAAACCCGATTAGACCACTTAAGATTAGTATTTATATGATTCTGAAATAAATGCATTTCCTTATTGGTGATAAGAAATAATAACAAAGAACTTATTGATATAAAAATCTAAATTGGAGTTATACCATTGTAAAATATCCAGAATAAGAAAAAGACTTATTTAATTACACCAATCATACCGAATGTGCTGATAAAGATGATAAGGAACATAATATAAAAACGCGTTTTTTAAGTATCGTTGGAGTTGCAATACTTCAATATTGTTGAAAAAATGAAAACTTTCTTTGTTTTTTTTGTTTCATTTTTTACAGTTTCGTTTGCTTACGATGTATCCAATTTTGTTGGTACTGAATCAACTTTAAAACTAGTACACGTTGTAAGTATTATTTATTATGAATTAAGAGAAGTATTTAGCAATTATTAACTAAAATGATAATTTTTTGATTTTGACAATTGATAACACAATTTTGAGATATCATCCAAAATTAACTAAAAAATCTCTAAATAAATTCATAGAACAGCATTCTTTGTTTTCTCTAACGAAAGAACACCGTTTGTGAAAAAGAAACCTTCTGCTACTTAATTAATCAAGAAACTGTTTGGGAAAGTATTAGATATCGTTTGGAATAGATCATAAATCAGGTCGTAGAAACAAATTGATAAATAAACTGAAGAGATCGATGTAATAAATGTTCCAATGAAGTTCTTTTATTTGCCAATAATGTAGAAAATACTACATTCAAATATAATTAAAGGAATTTTGATGATAGGAATACTTTCCATACATAAATTGAGTTTTATTTTTTTATGGGTACACTTCATAAAGTCTCAACAAAAACATTGACAAAGTTAATCATGTAAAATAAAATATTACAAACATCGTGGAAAATTGACATGGATAAACTATTAGTTTACCTATCTTACTTTTGTGTATATTATCACACACAGCTAAAATGGCAGTAACGTCAGCGAATGTAGCAACTGATATATTATTGTCTTCTGGTAAATTGTTTGTGTAAGGTAAGTGCAGGGTTGGCCTAAGAACACTTCCTTGCAGAACACCAGTTTCTATCTCTCTTAACTAAATTCGTTTTCATATTTAACTCGAATAATCGGTCGGTAATATAATATCCTACATACTGTTTTGGCACAACCTTACTAATTTTACATATTAGACCTTTATGCCACACTTTGGTGTAACATTCAATGCTCTGCAATATTCCACATAATGGGTACGTATCATAAACAAAACGTCGCAAATGTGTCAATTTTATGATAGCTTTTCTGAGATTTTTTAAAATTTCTGTTGTATTCAAGTCAAAATCTGGTGCTTTCTCTGCTGTATTTACATTCGTTTGAATTTCTTGAACCAATTCGTTAAGTATATACAATGTGTTAATTAATTATCGTACCCGACGTCATCATTGCAAGTATGCAACCAATATCACAGTATTTTTATTGCAATACGCGATTTGCATGTTATTGGATGGCGATTTGTGATATTGGTTGCATACTTGCAATGATGACGTCGGGTACGATAATTAATTAACATACTGTACATATTTTATATTCTATACGTTCATTAGAATTAATATATTCTTTGACCTCTTCATCATCGAAACTTATATCATTTTTCTGAGAGGTTCTTTCTAAATGGTTTGTAAATAAATCTGATTTTTGTTAATTTGATCTTGCACATGTTTTATTATTAGTGCGGAGAGGTTGGTTTTGATTAATTGAACTTTACATCTTTCTGGCTGCTCCCCATAATGAATAATTACTTCTTATATCGGTTAACTTAATAAGGCATTTCTTAACCAATTCTTCCTTTATCTGTTTTGTTTCTTGTGTAAATTATTATGCGAAATTATTGAATCTATTTTAATGGGAAGGATAGCTTTTCTTTCTTTGGCCACTAGTTCCATAACTTCCTGTGTTGCCAACAGTTTTCCTTTTCAGTCAATCAATGTATCTTATTAATTAATAACTGAAAAATATTGAAATTCTTAAAATATATTTTTTATTCATGAAATAGTCTAACCATATACAACTCGACAATCGAAAATACTGGAATCTCGACGTATTGCCTTAAGCAGTCTTCAAGCAGTACATCTCGTATTATCGAGTATTTTCGATTGTCTTGTTGTATAATATATGAAAAGCAAATTAGACCACTTACAATTTTCACATCTTTATTAAAGATTTTTCGACATGGTGATAGAACTCCTGACTCATTATACCCAAAAGATCCATACACAGAAGACGATTTTTATCCATTCAGAATTGCCCATTTAACCAATAAAGGAAAATTAAGAGCTTACAACATTGGAACATATCTTCGTAAAAAATATAACAAACTTCTCGGAGATGTCTACACTCCGGATATTTTATATGGAACTTCTTCGAGTTATCCAAGATGTAGAGCAAGTTTAGAATCAGTTTTAGCAGGTTTATATCCACCGTCCGAAGAATTAATTTGGAATAAAGAATTACTTTGGGAACCGATTCCTTACGATTATTTACCAATGAAAGAAAACAATTTATTTCTTCCTGTTTATACCTGCCCAAATATGAACACATTAGTGAATGACATTTACCAAAATCTCGATTCCGATCCCATAATCCAAAAATATAACTATCTACTTCCGTTTTTAGTAGAAAATACAGGTTTGACGGGAAATCTTTACTCTATTGCTATAAATTTATGGTCAACTTTAAAATCGGAAGAAGAAGCTGGTTTGAAAATACCAATTTGGGCTCAAACGGTTTATCCGGAAATTTTATCGGAAATAACTAAATACAGTTGGGAAGTATATTCACGGACACCCGATTTAAAGACTTTATCCAGTGGATTTTTGATGTCGAAAATTATTAATAACACTTTTTCGACGTTAAATGGCGAGAATGAAGCAAGAAATCGAAAAATTTATTTGTATTCAGGACATGACTTTAACGTTGGTGCAGTTTTATCTTACTTAGACAATTTTGTTCCTCATCTTATCAATTATGGAGCTCATGTTATTATTGAAGTTCATAAGTATATTGGAATTTACTTTTTAAAGGTAATGAAAATGTTCTTGTGAAAATAATTTTGGTAACATTAACATTTTTAGTTTTTACATGAAAATAATGATGATGATTTGGAACCTCAACCTCTTTTCATTTCAAATTGTGGAATCTATTGCCCATTAGATGTTTTCTGCTATCTTAAATACTTTGTGTACTGGTTAAAAGAAAACATTACAACATAAACACATATAGATTTTTGTTATTGCTGTGAAAAATAAATTGTCGTTGTATATTAATAAATTCATATTCATCCCACAAATAATAATTTGTTTGTTTTACAAATGGTAATAGAGATAAACAAAGATAAAATCCTTAATTTGTTGCTATTCAAAATCTTAATTACACCAATCATGTTAGATTTTTTTAATGAAAATGAAAAGTATAAAAAGTAGAATTTCCCTTAAAATTGTTGTTAACAGAAAATGAAAACTTTCTTTGTCTTCTATTTTGCAATTACTTTTGGATCTTTAAACGTTTACCAATCATCTATTTAATTAAAGGTTGTTCGTCATGGGGAAAGAACTCCTGATGTTTTATATCCAAAGGATCCCTACTCGGAAAAAGATTTCTATCCGTTTAGAGTCGGACATCTAACTAATAAAGGCAAATTAACCAATTACAAAGTTGGAACAACACTGCGTCAAAAATACAACAAACTTCTTGGTGATATCTACACTCCAGACGTTTTATACGCAGTTTCTTCTCACCTTTCAAGAAATAAAGCAACTCTTCAAGGTATTTTAGCAGGTTTATTTACACCTTCGAAGGAATTAATTTGGAACAAAGATTTACTTTGGGAACCAATTCCTTATGATTACTTACCAAAGAATGAAAATAAATTGTTTTCTACATTATCGACATGTCCAAATTGGCCAATATTATTGGCAGAAAATTATCAAAAGTATCTTGCAACAGATTTAGTATTTCAAAAATACAATTATTTGCTTCCATTTTTATTGGAAAAAACTGGTATGACTGGAAATATTTATAGTATATCTAGGGTGCTATATTCAACATTAAAATCGGAAGAAGAAGCCGGTTTAGAATTACCAGAATGGACAGAATCGATTTATCCTGATATTTTAAACGAAATATCATCAAATGGATATAAGTATGAAATGATGGATGATTTAAAAACATTAACACCTGGATTTTTGATTTCGAAAATTATTAATAACACATATTCCACGATAAATGGTGAAATTGAAGCGAAAAATCGTAAAATTCATGTGTATTCAGCACATGATCTTAATATCGCGTCAATGTTAAACTTCTTTGACAATTTTGTTCCACATAATCCAAATTATGGAGCTCATATTATCATTGAAGTTCATAAATATATTGGAATTTATATCTTAAAGGTAATGAAGTTGAAATGTTTTAATTGATAATCTTAAAGCAAGAAAATTTTAGTTTTTGTATCAAAACAATGTTGGTTACTTAGAACCTCAGCCTATTTTCGTTCCAAATTGCGGAATTTATTGTCCATTGGAAGTACTTGTTAAATTGTATGCTAAAGAATTGGATCCAGCAAGATTAGAAACGCTATGTGGTTAAAAGTATTTATTATAATGAATTTCAATAAATTTAAGACGGAAATATTTACAGCAATGAAAATATTACAAAAATAATAATAAATAAAATAATAATATAATAAGTGCATTTACATCGCTTGGATTTAAATTGCCGAAACGTACTATTTTTTATTTTATTGGATTTAAATGCAATGACATTCTATTAGAATAAGCAAGTAACGATTGAAATCCACATTTATAAACGAGCAGGTCGAAGAAAGAGCATGTCTTGAAAATAAATATACAGCTATATATTTCTAATCCTTTCATATACGTTTCATATACATGAATATATTTGGGAAGTGTAAATTAAGAACAACAGTGGCGTACCAGTATTAATAAGTAAAGAGGTAGAGCATTAATTATCTACTTTGACAACCTCGCTGTATTCCTCATACACTGAGGGAAATATATTCTTGAACGAAGATTATTACTCTTGGCACAAGCTTATCATATTCTTGTATATCCACAAGAAGATCATTTTGTTAAGTGAAGAAAAACCACATATTCCCAAAGCAAGTATACAAATATTTTTGATTCTCAAAAAAACGAATTTTTAGTAAAAGTAAATCAATCATCTTGAAAAAGAGTATCTTAGTGTTGCGTCAACAATCCTATTTTCATATCGAGAATAAATTTCTTATGTCAAGAATAACGTATCTTTCTTTTTAGAAAAACTTATTCATGTAACAACAATCTTGTATAATTCTTCATTTGAGTATTATAAATTATTGACGCAAGAATGAATTTTTTGATACAAAGAATTGATATTCTTCGATGTTAAGAATATAACATACTTCATTCGATAATGTTTCTATTCTTAAAACAAAAAAATATTTTTGTTTTAAGAGTATCTTATATTTGTTTCTAAGAAATACATTCAAGAATAAATTTTTTTTGAAAGTCAAGAATAATTTCCCTCAGTGTAGTAAAAGATTATTATTCCTTAATTTTTTTGTTACTCATCGTAAAGGATTAATAAGTAAAGGTTAAAGTAAAGGTAAAGTAAAGGTAAAGGTTTCGTAAAGGTTTGTTTGTAAAACTTTTTTGTATTTTTTAAACAGATTTTTTATCTGATTTTATTTATTGATAAAATTCACATTTATCCATGTTGTAAGTTAAATATTTTGAATAAGAAAATGTTTTAAAAAACTTCTTTACTTGCTAAAAATAATATCATTACTAATACTCAGATACTAGTTTGGGGTTTCATCCCCATCATCAGTCTGAATCTATATTATAAATGAAAATAAGCAATACATATACGTTAAAATGTTAAAAAACAATCGTTGAAACTTTATATTACGCGTGGTGTTGATATAATTATATACATCTAGAAATAGAGCTACAGTTAAATGTGATTAAACAACAGGGAAAGAATTCGACTTACGTTACAAAATGAAGAAACATATACAGGGTGTCCCGTTAAGCGTACGGAGCGGCTGTATCTCTAGAACGGTACGGCCAAGAGGTTTGGGAAAAAAATCCTTATAAGCAAAGTGGGCAAGAGAAATAGCTGGAAATTATTTTGAAGTTCGTAATTCGACCGCTAGGGGGCGTAACTGCCATTGAAAAACATAAAGTTCCCGCTATCTCAGAAACTTAGACGATGAGCTATAACTTTGACAACATCATTTAATAGCTTTTATAATACCGCCTCGCTTTTTGGTTTGCGATATTTCTCATATCTGTCATAATAAGGGAGGGGGAGGCCAATGCGTTTTCATATGTTTACATTTTAATATCTCCTAGACCATTCAACCGATTTGAATGTTTTCGGTGTTGTTTGAAAGAGCATTTTATGCTCTTTTTAAAGATATTTCAGTAAGACCGTCTGCTTTAAAACAAATGAACTAGAGGACGTTATCTGCAGCGATTACAAATTTTTGTGATTTTTGAAGAAAACTTAAATGGAACGATACTATTTACTTCACAGATCCTTGGTCACCTTCAAATTTGCTAAATTTTAGTGAAAACCGCATCTCGATGTCGCCACCCGTTCTCGAGTTATAGAAGAAAATGTTAAAAACTCGAGTGCCATCAATCGGATCCAGTTACCTCATCGAGAAAAACAAATCACATAACCATGGTAACTGTAAACATGTCATTTACTAACGCAGAAGCGTATGATAGAGCGTATGATGATTTATTTTCAATGTTTCGAATACGATGCAACTGCATGGCAAAAATGTGCAATGCAATTACGACAAAGAAAGACATTTTTCTCTAGAAGTGTTTTTAAGATTGACTTAGCGATTACGGAAAACTGGCAACGTGTAGCCCATTCAGACATCTCTATGAATTCGTAAATCACATTGGTGCGCAATGCATGGAGTTCACACA